CAATCACTGTGGTTATTATCCTTGCTCCGCTGCTCCTTGGTGAATCCTGAGACAGGAAGTCTGTATTTTCTTGGAACTGAAAGTAGAGCAGCCCTCCTTCCACAGCAGCACAAGCCCTGCTCCTGCAGAAACTGGAAAATTCTGTTTAGAGGCTGCATGCCGAAATGCCGCACCAAACAACAGCAACAGCTCCACCTACTCACTTGATCTGGCTTCCTAATAATATCTTTGGATGAAGGTGGGGGATAAGTGGAGAAGCGCTGAATCGCTCATTTAATTCTCACAGAGACTGTAGCAAGGCAGGGCAAGGTCCAACTGAATACACTCAGATTCTCCTATTTCCCATTGTTTTCCATTAAAAGAAAAAAGGTATAGGTCATTTTATAGTGGGAATAAACAACATGCCACAGTAAGCATTTCACGTATTTGTTCATGAATCAGAGAAGTTGCTTCCTGTGCATGTCATTGTCTAAACTGAGTGTCCCTGGAATGACAAGAAAAGTAGTGTTCAGGGATTGGGGCTTGGCTCACATTTGTCTTCTCTCCATTCACAGCTATTTCTTTTAGAAGAGATGAGAGAGAGAAAGTATGATGGATATGCTCGAGTGATACAGAAATCATGGAGGAAATTTGTGGCCCGGAAGAAATATGTTCAAATGAGAGAAGAAGGTATTTTAGCAATTTTGTTTCATTCATTTTAACAAATTAAATTTGAGCTTAAGTGAAGTTCTGACTTCCATTTTATTTTGCATATAATGTCATGCTACAAATATTGCATCATTTAGAGTTTATTTGTATATTTTCACAGTATTTTCCTCCTTTTTCTGACTGACTTATCCTTCTTCCATCTTCACCCTCTTGGGAATTGTAGCCTCAGACATCTTACTGAACAAGAAGGAGAGAAGGAGAAACAGTATTAACAGGAACTTTATAGGGGATTACATTGGGATGGAAGAGCACCCAGAACTCCAGCAGTTCGTGGGCAAGAGGGAGAAGATTGATTTTGCAGACACAGTCACCAAGTACGACAGGAGGTTCAAGGTACGTGCTGACTGCCCGCCTCTGAGATCACCAGATTCCTTACTTTTTAAAAAAAATAACTTGTTGTTTTGCTTTTGTTGTTACCAAAGCAGAACATGTTCATTGTAGAAAAATTTAGAAAAAAATATAAACCGAAAGAAAAATCGGTACCTATGCCCAGAAACAATCACTGTTAACATTCTGTGTATATCCATATCTTTCAGAATGTTTTTATGAAAACATACATTTGTGTATTTAGTTTTACAAAAACTAAGATACATATTACATGCTGTTTTATGTCCTGAGGTAGTTTTTTATTTGTTTGTTTGTTTAAATAATGCCAGGGATAATTTTCAGTAGTAATACAGGGAGCAATATAAGTTATTTTACATGGTTGCATAGTATTCCATTTTACAGATGCCTTATTATTTTTAACCAATTTCTCATGAATCTAGTTTTAGTGAGTTTTTCTTTTTTACTATCATAACTTCAATGAGCATCTTTTTACACATCTTTGTATATCTATCTCTCTCCAAATATTTTGAGAAGAAATTGATAGGAGTGAAATCGTTGAATCAAAGGATTGAGAATATCAAGTAATATTGCAGGGTATCCTTACCCATTTTTCCAGAGTGGCTGATAAGTAAGGCTTTTCTAGCCACAGGAGGAACAGCTGATTTTTCACCTCCTCCCTTAGCTACCTTTTGATAAAGTCTTGGTCCTAATAGACAAATCTGAAGTTTCAGAAGCTCATGGACCCATTAAGAGCTTTTGGTTTTTTGGCAGGGACGGGGAGGTAAAAAAATATATATATAATGAAGTAAACAACAGAAGCACGATGTTATTTTCCTAAAACCAAACCATTTCTTGCAACCTGTGCATGGCCCCAGCTGCTGTGACGGCGGCTCTGGGTTCACACGGGTGCTTAGCTCTTGCAGCGGTACTCGTTATAAAGTGGTTACCCATAAATTCCCGAATAGATTTATATTAGATTATTGAGAATTATCATTCAAATGACAATATATCAGTATTTTTAAAAGAAAATTTTATGAACTCCCAAGAAAACACATGCAGACACCGCCGCCTGTTTAGAAACACGCTGTAGTGCGTGCTTGGTAAGCTCGCCACAGCTGTTGGTGACTTCCCCTTTACACCTGCTGTCCTGATGCAGCAGGTGACTCCATATGAGTTTGCCAGTTTTTAAGTCAAAAAAGGTGAAGTCATTTTTTACATGTCATCTTAATAATCACAAATAATGCCATCTTTTCCCGTCACGGGCCCGGTCATGTGATGAACAGAACAGCCGTCCCAACGGTAGTGAAGATTGACTGTCCAACGCAGCTTCCCACTGTCCTGGTAACAGCGGTCCACCGTGTGAATGGTTGTCATCACATTGACCATGTCTGTCCACCTTTTTTTGAGACGGAGTCTTGCTCTGTCACCTAGGCTGGAGTGCAATGGCACAACCTCGGCTCACTGCAACCTCCACCTCCCAGGTTAAAACGATTATCCTGCCTCAGCCTCCCAAGTAGCTGGGATTACAGGCACCCACCCCCACACCCAGCTAATTTTTGTATTTTCAGTAGAGACGGGGTTTCACCATGTTGGTCAGGCTGGTCTCGAACTCCTGATCTCAGGTGATCCACCCGCCTCGGCCTCCCAAAGTGCTGGGATTACAGGTGTGAGCCACCGTGCCTGGCCTGTCCAGCTTCTTAAAGCTCCTCTCCTTACAGGGTGTAAAGCGAGACCTGCTTCTTACCCCAAAGTGCTTGTACTTAATTGGACGAGAAAAAGTCAAACAGGGCCCAGACAAGGGCCTGGTGAAAGAAGTCCTGAAGCGGAAAATCGAGATAGAACGGATCTTGTCTGTGTCCCTCAGGTGAGTGATTGGAGGCGCAGAGGCAGGACTGCCCCATCTCGCCTCAGCATCACCGTCCGCTGTTCCAAACAGCCAGGAGGAAGGCCAGGCTGGGCTCCCCTGCTGTCAGAATCATGATCAAGAGAATGGAATTTTCCTTGGTCCCAAAGGGAAGACTCCCTAGTCTCAGCGAGTCTTGATATGTCAGGAAGAAGGTACCAAGAACAGGTTGCCTCCGGACAGCTCCCCTAATCAAGGGGACCCAGATCTATTGTAACCATAACATGTTAGAAATGAACCCAGTATATGGAACACCTCAGAGAAGAATTTCTCTTGTTGCAGTGGAGCCAAGGGTTCAGAGCTCTGTCCCCCAACCCACCTCACCCAGGTTGGAAGCCTCACCCATTTCCCTGAGCAGAGGGTCCTGGAAGGGAAGTTTCTTTGGGACTTCCTTAGGGAGTGCAAGTTGGTCTCCATTCTCTGTAGTCCTGGAGTCATCGCGAGATGCTCTCTTTGCTCCAGTTCTCAGGCAGTGGGGAGTGGTGTTTGCTTCCGCAAGGCCTCAGGCAGGGCCCTTGCTCTTCTCGGCAGCACCTTGGCTTCCTTTCGGCAGAAAGGCTCCTCTGTCAGCTGTCAGAGCATCTCCTCCGTCACTGGGACCTAGGCTAGGAGTTCTTAGCATGGGAGGTTTTCCCATGCTAAGACATCCTCCCATGCTAAGAACTCCTAGCCTAGGAGTCATCCCATGCGAAGTCCTCCCGAAGTCCTCCCATGGTAAGAACTCCTAGACCAAGTTCCGCTGACAGAGGAAATCCTCAAAATCCATGAAAGCTAAGAATGGAAGAAAGGCCTCCTCGAGCCCCATAGCTTCCTCCAAGAATCGTGTCCCTGGGCCTCTGAGGCTAACACTACTTTAGTCAGGAAAAGCTTTGGGTCTTTGCATTAGAGATGTTCTGCTCTCACATGAACGTGGAATTGGGACGCCTCTCAAACTCTTACTCCACACAGAAGACAAAACTGCTGCGCTTAGGAAAAAGCAGGGGTTTGATGTGCTCAGGCGTCTGACCTACCGAGCTGGAAATCCTAGCTCCAGTCTGATAATCCAAAGCAGATTTCTCGTTGCATCTATTCTTGCCTGTGTCTCTGTGGTTTCTGATTCTATCTGTTCCTAATTTCCCTGGATAAAGGGCCGGGCGGTGGAGGGCAGTTAAGTATGTCAAACATGCCAACTCAGGATGTGGTAAAGTTGCTAAGCAGATGAGTCCACAGTGTCCATTTTGCAGCCCCTCCTCAGGTAGGTTTCAAGGCCATTGGTTTTTTTAAAAAAAAGCTCTAGGCGCTGACTGGTTTTCAGAAGGTCTTCCTGAACATTCAGCTCACTGGCTGGGTCCCAAGCTGAGCGGGGCAGTGCCTGCTGGCCACACTCTTCCTAGCTAGCTGGGCCCTGAGGTTGCCCTGGGAACCCAACAGGAAGCTCCTTGCTTGTCATCGCATGGGGACCTGCCATGGCTGGACTAAGCCAGGTTGGCCACAACGTGCTTGGCAGGCACCCTAGGTGAAGGTCAGGGAACCGGGAACCACAGCTCTAGGGCACATGTAGTCGCTGTGCTGAGAGTGACTTTCTGTGTTATTGCCCGGGTCTGTCTTCAGTCCCTCAGACCCCTGGTGGAGAGCTCATGACTGGGACCATAAATTATCCTCATCGAGCTATATTTGTGTGGTTGTTTTGTTTTGTTTTGTTTTGTTTTGTTTAGACAGAGTCTCGCTCTGTCACCCAGGCTGGAGTGCCGTGGTGCGATCTCAGCTCACTGCAACTTCTGCCTCCTGGGTCCAAGTGATTCTCCTGCCTCAGGCTCCAGAGTACCTGGGATTACAGGCGTTGGCCACCACCCCTGGCTAATGTTTGTATTTTTAGTAGAGACAAGGTTTCACCACGTTGGCCAGGCTGGTCTCAAACTCCTGACTTCAAGTGATCCACCCACCTCAGCCTCCCCAAGTGCTGGGATTAGAGGTGTGAGCCACCGTGCCTGGCCTTGAGCTACACTTGTATCAAGCACTTTGACACTTACTATCTTACTGGTAAGTCCTTGAGAGGGTCATCAAGCAGGGACTGCAGGGACTGTTCACACTCAAATTTCTTCCTTTTATTTTGTTTTTTGTTTGTTGTCTTCTCTTACAGCCTCTGGGGATATAATCTCTTATGGTAACACCAGCTGCTTTTTCTTCTTCCTCTTCAGTATTCATCATCTGGAAGGTTCCTTTCTTGTGGTCTTTCGTTTTTAGAGGCTGTAGTAAAATGAGGTACTTAGCCTAAAAGTTTTTCTGATTCTAAGGAAAATAAAAGAAAGTGTGAGTCATTTGAACTTGTGATGTCTGCGTATTGCAGTCACTGAACCTCACACTTGCCAAGATGAATAACAGTGTTCCCTCATTTCTTTATACTTGAGTTAGGCCAGTAATCAGAACCAAGTTAGGAAAGCAACCAGAGGGTGATGTGTGTGCAGAATCGAACCCAGAGTGGAAATTAATTCTGGTACCAGACTACTGAACGTGCATGTGTGTTCTCAAAATACTTTAGTACTGGCATAGAGAAGGATTTTAACAGTTGTCTTGTACTTCAGGAAAAAAGCCGCAACATCTGTATGTGTTTTAGTATTTCTGAGATTGACTAGTTGACTATTGGCTGGAATGATGTCAACATATGGCCTCCTAGTTACGATTTATCCAAGTATCCTATAAGCTTGATCTTAGCCCATCTCTAACTCTTATAACTAATGTCAATGCACAGTGGGCCTACATCTCCCTATTCAAACCAACCAACCATTTAGTGGAAGTTATGATACAACAAGGGAAATGTGAGCATGACTAAATATTTGGTCTGAAGAATTTATTGTTTATTTCTGTAGGTGTGATAATGGTTTTGTGGTTAATTTTATATAAAGAGACATTATCTTTTAATGATATATACTGAAACATTTGAGGATAAAATGAAGGCTGAGCGCAGCAACCCATGCCTGTAATCCCAGCACTTTGGGAGACCAAGGCAGGAGGATCACTTGACCCCAGGAGGTTTGGGACCCACCTGGGCAACATAGTAAGACCCCATCTCTACAAAAAATGTAAAAATTAGCCAGGAGTGGCGGTACGTGCCCGTGGTCCCAGCTACTCGGGAAGCTGAGGTGGGAGGATTGCTTGAGCCCAGCGGGTCAAGGCTATAATGAGTCATGATCACACCACTGCACTCCAGCCTGGGCAACAGAGTGAGACCCTGTCTCAAGTAAAAATATTATCATAGGCTTTACTTTGGTTTAAAATAACCTGGAAGCTATTTTAAAGTGGAAGCGGGGAGAGTGAGGTTGTAGATAATTGTGATTATCCATGGATTGGTGCTTGAAATCTGACATGTGGTTCATTCTACTATACTACTTTTTATTTTTTCGAGACAGGGTCTCTCTTTGCCGCCCAGGCTGGAGTGCAGTGGCACAATCTCGGCTCACTGCAGCCTTGACCTCCAGGTTCAAGCGACCCTCCCACCTCAGTCTTCTAAGTAGCTGAAACTTCAGGCAGGTACCACCACTCCCGGCTAATTTTTGTACTTTTTGTAGAGACAGGGTTTCCCCCTATTACCCAGGCTGGTCTCCAACTCCTGGGCTCACGGGATCTACCCACCTCAGTCTCCCAAAGTGCTAGGATTACAGGCATGAGCCACTGTGCCCGGCCCTACTATCCTACTTGTTTACAATTTAGAATTTTCTATAATAAAATGTTTTTCTAATCCTTTAGAGAAATTTAATGTCTAAATCCTAGACATTAAATTTTTAGAAGTCTTTATCTTTTCTAAACATACTGATATATGTCTAGTTGAATTACGGTTAACATTTTTTTTGAAGCTTTCATTTACAAGAAAGAATAGGATCACAACAGGTAGAAATAGGGCCAATAGCTCAGAGAGATATTAAGACTGTAGTTTGTCAAAGGGACTCCAGGATAATTTGATCAGGAAAAATCCTTATTTAAATAAATTTAGGCTGGGTGCGGTGGCTTATACCTGTAATCCCAGCACTTTGGGAGGCTGAGGCGGGCCGATCACTTGAGGTCAGGAGTTCAAGATCAGCCTGGCCAACATGGCAAAACCCCCTCTCTACTAAAAATACAAAAAAATTAGTTGGGCATGGTGGTGCGCGCCTGTAATCCCAGCTACTCAGGGGGCTGAGGCAGGAGAATCGCTTGACCTGGAGGCAGAGGGTGCAGTGAGCTGAGATCACACCACTGCACTCCAGCCTAGGCAACAGAGCGAGACTCTGTCTCAAAAATAAATAAATAAAAATTAAAGTGAAACACTGATGCTTGCATTTCTGGCTTCATTGGAGACTTGGGAAGAGTGTCAGGAGGTCACACACCAACACAGAGTTGAGACACAGGATTTCTGAGGCTTGTGGTGGCTGCTGACAGAAGGCCATGCCTGGGTTTTTGAAGGATCCTCCCAGCGCTGCTTCTTGTTCAAGTACTGACCTGGCCCCAGTCTTATTTGAAAAACTCAAGGAAACTTATTTGAAAAACTCAATTCCACTCATTACCACAGGTGTAATGACCCATGTTCTTGGCTTTGCTATTGTAGGTGTTGAGTTCGGGGCCATGGAAGCTCTTATTTGGGGCTCTCTGATGAGGCTTCTCGTTTTTCTTCTCATTCTGGTAGCTGACCACAAGAAGGATGAGAGCAAAAGTTGTGTGGCTGTCTGTCTGGGTTAACAGATTTTCCAGTACTTGTCTCCAATGGGAAAAACAACCCGTAAGAGAGTGCTTTTTAGACAGAGGCTCTAGCTCCCTGGTCACAACATTCTTGCCCAGAATGTTTCCTTGCCTGAATCCCCTAAACTTTCTGGCAGTAAAAACAGCCCACCTCACTGCCTGTCCTGCTGACCTGAAGCATTGCTGGCATCTTGGCTTGCTGGGGCCTGTCAGCACTGGGAACCTGGAAGTTGTCAGCATCATGGGATTGAACACCTACCTGGTGCTGAGCCCTGGTTTTCGAAGGTGGATGAGGCACAGTCACTGCCTCGGGAAGCTCCTCTCATTCTGGAAGGGGGAACAGACAGCTGAGTAAACATGTGCCTTACTACAAGTGTTCCCAGCGTGATTTAAAGGATACTCCTGGGACTCAAAAGAGGAGAGTGGGTCTTTGCACCTGCGGGTCAGGTGAAACTTCTTTGAGCCGGACACATCACTGCTGAGGCCTGCACCTGCGTCCAGGCTTTCTCAGAGAAATGAAGAAGGTTCTGAAACTGGTGCGACTGGTTTCTCTGAGTGGTAGAATTCTGGGCAAGGTTTATTTTCTTCTTGATTCGCCTCCATATCTTCCAGTTTACTAAAAGCAGCATATTTCATAAGCAGGAAAGACTTTTGTAAAAGCTTAAATAAAGGCAGGGCTATCCTTGGAAATTGCCTTTTCAGCTTAAAAAAAAAAAACTCCTTCAGGACTTTCCTTGGTGTTTTGTAACTACATTTCTGTGAAAAGATATATTGGTTAAGAGAGTAAAACAAGATTTTCTAGTGTTGTCAGCAATACAACAGTAAGCCACAAAGACGGAGGAATAAAAAAAACAAGGGCAGATCCAAACCAGAGACTAGGAAGAGGTCTTCCAACACAGGGTACAGCGTCAAACATCTGTAAGGAATTGCAGCATAGGAATAAGTCAGGGGTGAAGTCCAAAGATAAGTCTGACTTTTTAGAATAAATAAACACAAAAGCTTTGTTTTCAGGTCCTGGAGCATGGGCTGAGGAGAGCAGAATGAGCTGAGACCCTGGCCTGGGTGAAGGTGGTCTGCCTAGCTCCAATGCCTGGATCACTGAAGGGAGGGGACTTTGGATTTGATGGTTAAAGTCAAAGTGTCCAAACACATCTCTTCTCATTTCTAGATTCATGCTGATAATTGACCTGGAAGTTTTGGCCCGCTTGCTTTTTTCGTTATGATAATAATGAAACTCCTAATAAATCTAAGCACATTAAACCAGTCAAGGTGACTTATGCTGAGCTCATTTAGCCCTGTTGAATAATCACCATCCTGCCACAGTTCAGTCAGGCAAGCAGGCATGATCAGACATGCCAGAGAGAGCTCTGAGCAAACAACCAGAACAGGGAGGAGTTTCATTCCTCACCCCAGAGGCCAAAAGATGGAGCTTCTTGTTGTACTCTGGTCTATTGCATGCACTCTACCTATTGCAGCCGTGTTCTTTCACCTGGGCTAGGGTGCTAGGAGGCTTAGACTTTATTAATTCAAAAGGACTTGGAAGAGCTCTTTTGAGCAGCTTTTCATAAGTGCTGTTTGGAGTTTTGGATTGCTGGCTGTCCCTTTAAAGGGAGGGAGGAGGTGCTTGTTCCCAGGCACTGTAGAACTGGCATGTTGGCCCTGAATTGCCTTTGCATGCACTGTTGACTGATGGAGATGAAAACTGTCTGTTGTTTAAACCACTGGTTGTCAAGGTTTATCCTTGATCCCAGCTATCACAGGAGGGGGCAAGAAGCATGGCTCTGATATGGGGATGTCTGAAAACAAACATCTGGGGTAATGATAATGACCAAGTGCTCCACCCAAATGGCCATTATTTGGTAAACCAAATAAACCACGGTAAAGTGTTCTGACTTCACATCCAAGGGAAAGTTTGGCTGCTCTTCCGTAAGCTGGCCATGAAAGGGCCAAGCTCCTTTCCCCTGACACTGGCCTCTTGCTTCCAGTGAACTCCATGCGCCGCCCCACCCCACCCCCATGGTTTGTGCATGCTGCCGTTCTATGCCTTCCTATTCAATTGTGCTGCAGTTCCTTCAACCTCTTTTTCTCCTGTGGATTACCAAGCTCCTTTCCTGTAGGAGGACTAAAAGTGCATAATTTGTTAAAAAAAAAAAAAATGAGAATTTAGTTTTTACAGTTCTAGAGACCAGGACGTCTGAGGTCAAGGTGCAGGCAGATCTGGTGTCTGCTGAAGGCCACTGTCTTCTTTATAGATGGCACCTCTTGTTGTGTCTTCACATGGGAGAAGGATAGAAAGGGCAAACCACTCCTGTAAGGTCACTAATCCAATTCGTGAGGACCCCTTCCTTGTAACTTAATCACCTCCTTAAGGCCACACTTCTTAATACTAGCACATTGGTGAATAAGTTTCAACATCAGACCAAGGTAGAGGCTGTGGCTACAGCTACTGGCTCCATCAGCTCCGGGTCACTACCTCCCTGTCTCAGCCCGGAGAGAAGGTTCCTGACAAGCCTGGGATAGTCCACCAAGATTCTCTGTCCAAGGGAGCCCTGTGATCCCAACAAGGGCCCAGCCCCTACCTTGACCTGTGAATGGGGCTGAACAGGGATAGCACAGGAGTTTCCTTTTAAATGGGTCAGATTTTACATGGAAGAAGGATCCTGGGTCTCACAGATTCTCTACAGCTCAGTCCTCTGTGTGATCCCCTTGCCTCATCATCTGGCTTTGTCACAGCCTGGTAATCCCACTGGTGCGGTGACACCAGGAGCTCCGAGAGCAGAGCAGAGGAGAGCTCCCGAGCCATGCTGCAGGGTTCTGGGTATTCAAAGAACCGTGTCTGCGGCGCTTGGAGAGACTAAAATGTGACCATGGTCCATTCACTGAAGCAGGTTTGCCTCATTTGTTTCTAATGCCTGGGAAAATGCTTACAATCCCTAATGAAACCTCATTCTTCAAAGGGTTGTCTTCGGTATTTGGCAGTGGTACTTGGAGATACTCGTAAACTTATATATTACAGCCTTTGGGGTGGTGGCCCCATTCACCTGAGTGATAAATCTAACAGGGAATGCAAATTCTCAATTACACACGTTGTCGCTTTCTACCAAGCCTAGCCAGGCCTGAAGATGGAACTTTGTCTCACCCACCTGCCCTGACCACCAGACATTTCCTTGGAGCTGGGTCTGCCTCAGCGTCTCTCTGCCATCACCCTATAGCTCCTAACACCTGCTCCCCTCCAGGCATAAATTTCTCCACAATCCCACCCTGTCCAAACATGTGGTTCCTGCAAAGGTGTGTTCTCTCCTTGTCTGACAAAATTCATTAGCTTGAAGGTGATGATTTTTGCTTGTTTGCTGTTTGTCCATCTGACCTTTGCATCTCTGAACTTGGACATGTCTGTACATTCTAGTAGCTTCTGGCTTGCAGGGTCTGCAGAGCACTGTTTGCCAGAAGGTTCTTAATAAGTACCTTGAAGTCCAGGACATTGGCTTCCCTCTTGATAACCAAGCTTATAATTCTTCAAGTTCAAATTTACTACAATAGCTACAACCATATCATAAATTATACTAATACTAACTTGGAACTTAAATGTAGAGTTATCCCTTTTCAGCTGCATTCTATTCATAACGTTCTGGATTTTTATGGTCTGAAAAACACAAGTTGGATTTGAAAATGGATTTTTTAAAAAATATGGGCTAAATTGTCCTTAAGTTCCTCATTTTAAAAATCATGTGGAAAAAGTACTTTGATTATACTTTTGTTGGGCTATAAACTTTCTTTGAAAGCAGATTTCAGCAATCTCATTATGTAATTCATTGTAGTTGGTTTTTGTTTGAAAGATTATTACTATAGAAAGACTAAAATCTTAGCACTATCTTGCAGGATTTTTAAAATGGAAGAAAAAAAATAGAGTAAACAGAAGCAGAGCTTTCACCAAGTGTATTTGTCCAATCTCTTTACAGTACTATGCAGGATGACATTTTTATCCTCCATGAGCAAGAGTATGACAGTTTGCTTGAATCTGTCTTCAAAACTGAATTCCTAAGCCTCTTAGCAAAGCGTTACGAGGAGAAAACCCAGAAGCAACTACCTCTGAAATTCAGCAATACGTAAGTCCGGATCTGGGACCCAAACTTCTGCATGTAGCTAAAAAGGGGCCTTGATCGCACCCCTGGGATTCAGGATGGGGCTGGGGGAGGCTTGTGAGGAGGAGAGTGGGGTCTGGCTGGCCCCAGTGGAACCTTAGAGCCTGCAGAAGACAGTCTGGATAGTAGTCACAGACTTAGAAAAGGTTACTTGTGCATTTCTGTGAAATAATGACTTCATAGACTAGTGTATTTTATCATTTAGACAAAAATCTCCTAAGTGAGGCAGACAAAGGCAGATTTTTATGTCTCACCCAAAAATAGGGTTTTTAATTAAGCAGAGCAGACAGGAGTAGAATCAGGCTGGAAGCAGATGAAAGTGACAAAGGTGGGGACATACATTCCCCAAACCAATGCATAATAAAACCTATTTATTGGTAGGGCCTCTGGGGGCTTGAGGACTATAGGTGGCCAATGTGTTGTGTAGGTGGCTCACCTTCCCTTCTTTTTTTTTGAGATGGAGTCTCGTTCTGTTGCCCAGGCTGGACCTCTGCCTCCCATGTTCAAGCAATTCTCCTGCCTCAGCCTCCTGAGTAGCTAGGATTATAGGTACTCACCACCACACCTGGCTAATTTTTTGTATTTTTAGTAGATATAGGGTTTCACCATGTTGGCCAGGCTGATCTTGAACCCCCAACCTCAAGTCATCTGCCCACGTTGGCCTCCCAAAGTGCTGGTATCACAGGCTTGAGCCACCATGCCCGGCCTCACCTTCATTTCTTTTGGCAACATGACCTAATGGACCAGGTACTGGCATACTGTTGACCCTCTAATCTCAGATTTGCTGAGTAAGAGTTATTTAGCTAGTCTGGACAATATAGTAAGACCACATCTCTACAAAAAGTAAAAAATAAAAAAAAAAAAGTTAGCTGGGTATGGTGGTGCCTGTAGTCCCAGCTACACGGGAGGCTGAGGTGGGAGGATACTTGAGCCCAGGAGGCAGAGATTGCAGTAAGCCGAGACTGTGCCACTACACGCCAGCCGGGGCAACAGAGCAAGACCCTGTCTAAAACACAGAAAGAAAGTTATTTAACTTTTCTTTTTAAATGTCCCCATCTATAAAATGGGAATATCCTCCATCTTTTCCCAGCTAAAAGAATGAGGCCCAGACAAAGCCTTAATATCATGATGAGGGAAACTTCTAATAGGCAGCTACTTAAAATTATGATTTTTCCTTCTTATGATATGAGGAAATATAAGTTAAAAGCAGAATAAGGATTGCATAATGCAGGCATATGGGCAATACAGAAGCATTAAAACTGGCTGGGGAGTTTGGGAAGTGCAGGTAAGTCCTGCCTTCTATTTGGATCTTGGTTGCTAGTGTGTCTTTTTCCATCCCCGGGTGGGATATCATGGTGCAAGAACAGTACGGGACTAAACAAAGCCAGGTTCTGTGCTAAAGAGTCTTCAAGCTGGCCTGGGTCTGGCATCTGTCAGTCCTCCACAAGCACAGGAGCAGGGACAACAGCTGGAAGCACAATGACAGCACAGCAGTGTGACCTGGAAATTGTCTTTCCTCTGTCCCCTCAGCAGGTGCCCCTGAGGCCACCTGACAGAGTGGCACTGGCACATTAGGGAGGTGTACCTCCCTCACCACCCGGTGTCTCATGGTACCGGGCCCCAGATGCTCCTGCTTCTGGCTCATTGTCATGCAGCGACAGTGCCACCCCATGGATGCGGTGCACATCCTCAGGGCCCTGCCCCGGTGTGGATTGTCCGGTCTTGCCTCACGTTTATGCTTTTCCAGCAGCAGAACTCCATGGCAGGATCTCTGAGCACTGTTTCCTCACTGCTTCCTTCGACCTGTTAACCCCAGTGTGCTTTTTGCAGGCTTGAACTGAAGTTGAAAAAGGAGAACTGGGGTCCCTGGAGTGCGGGGGGCTCCCGGCAAGTGCAGTTCCACCAAGGCTTTGGGGACCTGGCTGTCCTCAAGCCCAGTAACAAAGTGCTGCAGGTCAGCATTGGACCTGGACTGCCCAAGAACTCCCGTAAGTGCTCCACGGGCCCTGCAGGCAGAACTGCCGCCGCTCACCCGAGTCTCCTGAGCGAATGCTGAAAACGTGTGCACAGATGTGGGGGCTGAGAATCAGTACACCTTCTGCTTCCTGGGGCTCAGGCTTTCTTCAGAATGGAACATTTCAAACTAAAGCAACAGCAAGGAAAATGAGCAGGTTAAAAGTTTCTGAGGGACTTAGTACTTATGTATCAGTATACCTGGCATTACAATATTGTGATTCAAACAAATCAGAGTTCGTTAGCTTCAAATTTCCCCTCCCTTTCCAGTCAGATCTTGTCCACAATACCAACATCATCCTCTATGCCACCTTTAAAGAAATTGACTGGGCCAGGCGCGGTGGCTCACACCTATAATCCTGGCACTTTGGGAGGCCAAGGCCAGACGACCGCTTGAACCCAAGAGTTCTAGACCAGCGTGAGTAACATGGTAAAATCCTGTCTCCACACACAAAAATAAAAATACAAAAATTAGCCAGGCGTGGTGGTACACGCCTGTAGTCCCAGCCACTTGAGAGGCTGAGGTGGGTCGATGGTTTACACCTGGGAGGTCAAGGCTGCAGTAGCCTGGGTGACAGAGCAAGACCTTGTCTCATTAAGAAAAAGAAGATGACACTTTGGGAGGCCGAGATTGGAGGATCACAAGGTCAGGAGATCGAGACCATCCTGGCTAACGTGGTGAAACCCCGTCTCTACTAAAAAATACAAAAAAACTAGCCGGGTGAGGTGGCGGGCGCCTGTAGTCCCAGCTACTCGGGAGGCTGAGGCAGGAGAATGGCGTAAACCTGGGAGGCAGAGCTTGCAGTGAGCAGAGATCACGCCACTAAGAAATAAAACACCACACACACACACACACACACACGCACTACCTCAAACCCCAGTCTAACTCCTTCCCTGGCCTTTGATTCTTTTCCTGTTTATAATTGATATTTATAACTTATATCTATAGTACACAGCATAGAATAATATATGCTATGTATACTGTGATATTGTTGTAAAATTTGGCCTGTGTGTGTGATCACACACATGAAGATGCCATATGTAAAATAACTTTCTAGGCCAGGCACAGTGGCTCATGCCTATAATCCCAGCACTTTGGGAGGCCGAGGCAGGTGGATCAGCTGAGGTCAGGAGTTCGAGACCAGCCTGACCAACACCCCGTCTCTACGAAATGCAAAAATCTAACAGGGTGCGGTGGCGGGCGCCTGTAGTCCCAGCTACTTGGGAGGCTGAGGCAGGAGAATTGCTTGAACCCAGGAGGC